ATTCCTCGATTTGATATTCGTGTGCAACAGAGATGGCTGCAAACCTTCATGTAGATAGAGCAACCCCGAAGCCAAGCCTTGAACAATTTTGTACCTTAACTCCCAAGTTGACAAGCTTTCTGGTTTGAACAAATGAGATTCTAAGCACATACTCGTAGATAAGTAGTTCTCCTTTTTCATGGGACCAACCAATGAGTTGCACCAGATTCCGATGCCTACATAATACATTGACTGATTATCCGTAGTTGTGGTGCAAACAGATCAATCCAATGTTTAGGTCCCCTTGATATCTTCTTAACAGCAACAGCTCTTTTTTGTTGTTGTTGTTAAAAATATAAAACAAGACTAAAGAACTAAGGAACCAAATCAAGCGTGCCAAAGATAGTGTAATTGAGAGAGTTGAGAATGTATAATAAGAAGAACAAGATAGGTTTTGCAGAGAATTCAAATCTGCCAATTGAGTTTCTTACTTAGTGAAGGGTTAGATATACAAGTATACAAGGTGATTATTAGTTACAAACAATGCACAAGACATGGAGGGAAACATGGAGAGTTTCCATCCCTAAAACAAGGAATATGAAAACAAGGAAAAGTAACAAGGTGGTAGACAAGCCATTTAGGGATGTCTATGTTTTGTCTTTGACTTTACTAACACTCCCCCTCAAGTTGGTGCAAAGATATCACGCATGCCCAACTTGTCCAGTGAGTCATGGAAAACTTTACTTGATACGGCCTTCGTCAAGATGTCAGCAAGTTGGTTTTCCGAGTTTACAAATGGAAACTTGATTATACCCCTTTCTAGTTTCTCTTTGATGAAGTGTCGGTCGACTTCCACATGTTTGGTACGGTCGTGTTGTACTGGGTTATGTGCTATCTCGATAGCTGATTTATTGTCGCAGTACAAGTTTGTAGCTTTCAATGGTTTAATTCCCAGATCCTTCAGTAATTTCCGTAACCAGAGCAATTCACAAACTCCTTGAGCCATTCCCCTAAATTCTGCTTCAGCACTTGATCTAGCCACAACTTTTTGCTTCTTACTTCTCCAAGTGACTAAGTTGCCCCCCACAAATGTAAAGTATCCAGAAGTAGAACGTCTATCTGTGATGGATCCTGCCCAATCCGCATCTGTGTATCCTTCTGGGTTCATATGTGTATGTTTGGAGAATATCAACCCCTTGGCAGGGGCAGCCTTCAAGTACCTCATGATCCGAGTTACTGCATTCATGTGTGCCTCACTTGGTTGATGCATAAACTGACTCACCATACTCACAGCATAAGCTATGTCGGGGCGTGTGTGTGATAGATAAATCAGTCGCCCAACCAATCTTTGATACCTTTCTTTGTCAGTGGGTGCTTGGTCTGGATACATCCCTAACTTGTGGTTCTGCTCAATAGGTGTGTCAGCTGGCTTACAATCAAGCATTCCAGTATCTGTTAACAAGTCTAACACATATTTTCGTTGGAATAGAAATATGCCATGTGTTGATCTAGCAACTTCTATGCCAAGAAAATATTGTAACTCACCTAATTCCTACATCTCAAATTTACTAGCAAGGAGCTTCTGCAGATTCTTCATTTCTTCATTGTCATTACCGGTAACCACCATATCATCAACATAGATGATAAGGGCCGTAAGTTTGTCACCACGACGCTTTAAGAATAAAGTGTGATCCAAGTGGCTCTGAGTGTACCCAAAGCGCTTCATAGAATCTGTGAATTTTCCAAACCAGGCTCGTGGTGACTGCTTTAGCCCATATAATGATTTTCTCAGCTTGCACACGGTGTTGGGACCAAGTGCCATGGAGATCCCTGGTGGTGGTTCCATATACACTTCTTCTTGCAATTCCCCGTGAAGAAATGCATTCATTACATCATACTGCAATAGTGGCCAATCAAGGTTTGCAGCCAATGACATGAGAACACGTACGGTATTGATCTTGGCAACAGGTGCAAATGTCTCTTGGTAGTCAATTCCATACGTTTGTGTATACCCTTTGGCCACTAATCGAGCTTTGGATCGATCTATGGATCCATCAGCTTTGTATTTAATGGCGTATATCCACCGACATCCAACTGGTTTCTTCCCTTGTGGCAACTGGACCATTTCCCATGTAGAATTCTTTTCCAGAGCTTCCATTTCAATCGCCATTGCTTCAGCCCATCTGGAATCTGTTATAGCATCCTGCCACTTATTTGGAACACATACAGTAGATAATTGATTGACAAATGATGCATATGACTTTGACAATCTATGAGTTGAAACATGGTTATTAATGGGATATTTAGATTTGGCAGTAAGGTCAGGACAATATTGAGGCTTGGGTTTTCCTCTAGTGGTCCTAGGTGGGAGAGTGTATGGTATAGCATTAGGTGCTTCGGGAATTACCTCAAG